CCATTCATACTCTGTCTCTCTCTGTCTCAAAAATAAATAAACGTTAAAAAAAAAAATTAAAAAAAAAAAAAAAGAACAGTTGGGCCCCTGCCCCAGGCTCACAGGGGGCAGCAAGATGGGCCAGGTTAAACGCCCGAGTCTGGATGGGATCGTTCTGACCTGAAGATGGACATTAACAGGATAATTGGTGAAACCTGGTAATTAGGAACCAACACCAATTTCCTGATTAGAATTATTAAATTTTGTTTACTTAAGATAATGCCTTTGTGTGTAGAAAACGCACACTAAGGTTTTAAGGGCAATAGGGCCACAGGTCATCAAAGCGTTCTCAACGGTTCTGGGAAAACAGGAGAAAGTTCTTTGCGCTGCACATGCAACTTCTTCATAAGCTTGAGACTGTTGCAAAAAAAATTGCTTAAAGGCAAAAATTTCTAGCGGATTCTGACTGTTGCAAAAACGTTGCTTAAAGGCAAAAATTTCTAGCAGATTCTGACTGTTGCGAAAACTTTGCTTAAAGGCAAAAATTTCTAGTGAATTCTGATATAAGATAGTGCATGGAGCACATGTCTTCCTCCTGAAACCAGGTGAAAATGACCATAAACAACAGTGACAACAAAACCAAAGTAAAATCTACCTGTACGGCCACGTATAAATGAGATAAAATGCCTACCTGGGGGTGTCTGGTGCCGGGACCACAAGGACGGCCCTGCACATCTGACTCTGGGGCACACAGAGCACCCCGGTCTGCTCTGCACTCTCTAATCCCACCAAAACACCAAATTCAAGGACGATGTACCCCTTCCTACCGCCTCACAGGAAAACCGCATCCAGGAATCGTCAGCCACATGAGGAAAGTCTACAGCATGAAAGAGCCAAAGGCAAACAGAAATACTGACACTATGCAACACAGAAGTCACTAAAAACAAAATAGAAAGTCAGTATTCACAGAGCTGCAAGAACCTACTGTATCCACAGAATAAAAATGGTGTAACATAAAAATCATCCAGAGAATAAGGTCTATCACATCTTTAACTTTGACGGATACATATCTTTACAGAGGACTGTGTAAATACTAATAGTTTAGACTGTATGACTAAAGAAGAACAGATGTGATTAAACAAGAGCAGACAAGGGCACCTGAGTGGCTCAGTCAGTTAAACGTCTGACTTCAGCTCAGGTCATGGTCTCATGGTTTGTGAGTTCAAGCCCCGCATCGGGTCCTGTGCTGACGGCTCAGAGCCTGGAGCCTGCTTCGGATTTTGTGTCTCCCTCTCTCTCTGCCCCTTCCCTGCTTATGCTCTCTCTCTCTCTCTCAAAACTAAAATAAACACTAAAACATTTTTTTAAAAAAGAAAAAGAACAGATGATAAAGGGGTAAAACTCAAAAGCTCTCCTTCTTTTTGGCCGGTCTGTGTCCTTAAGTGACAAAACGTGGAGGATGGTGCTTACGTAGTGAAAAATAACAGGTAGCAGCAGGTTTGCCGGTTGGGAGAGTCAGACGCATTGGCTGAGGAGGCTGGATTCCTGACAAACACACCCAGGTTCTGACTGGCTCTCCAGGAACCCAGGAAACCGTGTTCTCTCCGGGTGTAAACAGAGAAAGATAAAGTTCTTCAAAAATGGACAAGGATTTCAAGTTCATGGAAAATGAAGGATAGGATCAATAAAACACGGAAATTGAAGGACAGGAGCAATAAAACAGGAATAAGGTGAGCGGTGAGAAAGCCAAAAAAAAAAAAATACAGACCGTCTGTGAGGGAGCCTGGGGCCAGGGTGCAAACCCAATGTGAAGACCTAAGTCAGTCCTTCCCGCTGGGCCCAAAAGTGTCCCCTGGGCTCAAACCCATTCTCACGGGGCACCTGTGATAGAGGACACATTTCTCTTGTGTGTGAGAGAGAACAGAGTCCACTATTGTCCTGATTTCACAATGAGAAATGGGGAGAGGGTTAGACAAGTCAGTTAAAATGAACTTTTCGGGCCTCTTTCCCACCTCTGACACGAGGGACAGGAGACAATGGCGGAAGAAAACAGTGCATGGTCGCTAAAGTTCCTTTTATCTCTCATATTCTAGCACACCCTGAGATTGTATCCACGCCTTCCCCTCTCGAAAGTCAGTCCACGAGAGTCACGCTCATTGTCCTCTGCAGAAAGCTCCGAACACAGATGTCGTCCAAGCAGGAAAGGCAACCCCACACTTTGTTCTCAACGTTAAGACTGTGCACACAATCTAAGATGGGGCAGGACCCAGTGTTTCTCCAGGTACAAGTTCTTGTCACCACAAATGAGCTCTGAGCACTGTAAAACGGAGGAAGATGTCAGTGAGTGAAGTTAGAAGAGGTAATCTGATAAATTATAGCCAGAGTAAATAGGCTGAAGGAAAATAGATTGACGGATGCGAAAACAGACGAAAACAGAGAGGATCACCAAAGTCTAAAGTCGGTACTTTGGAAAACACTGATAAGATGGCCAAACCTTTGCTAAGGATGACCCAGGAGGAAAGGGAGACGAAGCACAAATAACCAAATGGAAAAAATAGAAAAAAAGAAAAAAGTCTGGGCAGGGAGACATATCACTATTAGAGAACACTTATGTCAACACAATTGAAAATATGATCACAATGAAAAGAACACTGCAACAAACTGACACAAGAAGAAACAGAGAGTCTGAGTAATTACACGGCTATTCAAGGACTTCAGTTCACTATTTGAAACATTTACACACACACACACACACACACACACACACACACACAAACCCCAGACATTGATGGCTTCATTAATATTCTACCAAACATTTAAGAATGAAATTGTCCTAATCTTACACAAACCCTTACACTGAGTATCAAGAAGGAATATTTTCGCTCAGTGCGTGAGGCCAGCATAGCATTGATTCTGAAAACCTGAGAAAAAGTTTACGAGAAAAAAGGATGGGCTGACCCAGTCTCACGAAAATGGAGGCAGAACTCTAAAACAAAAAACTATCAAACGAAATCCAGCAATATGTAAATGAGGAAAATAAGTCATGACCAGGTTGGTTTATCCAGAAATGCAAAGTTAGCTTTGCTTTTGTAAATCGACTAACATAATTCATACTAATAGAAAAAAAGAAAAAAATAACATAATCTCTTCCAGGGTAGAAAATACATTTGGTAAAATTCAATATCCATTTTAGGTAGAAGACAACTTCCTTCATCTGATAAAACACATACAGCAAACATCCTTAATGGTGAAATGTGGAAAACTTTCCCACTGCCCCTAGAAATGATATGAGGGTGCTTGATATCATCACTTTCCTGACACTGTACTGGAGGTCTTATCCACTGCAACCAAACCAGTAGAGAGAGAGAGAGAGGTGATAGATGATAGATAGATAGATGATAGATAGATAGATAGATAGATAGATATAAAAGAAACATAAAAGATATGAGGATGGAAAAGAAAAAATGAAAACTTCCATTAGTCACAGATAATATGAACGTATATGGAAAAAACCTAAAAAATCTACGTAAACTATTCAAGTGAATAACTTTAGCAAAATTGTTAGATTTCTTCCAAAGTCTTCTAACTTTGTTCTTTTTCAAAATTGTTTTGGCCATTCTGGGCTCCTTGCATTTCCATATGGATTTCAGTATCAGCTTGTCAATTTCTTGCTTATTTCTATAGACTAGCAATGAACATTGTAGAAAATCTTTATAAATAAATGAGTAATCCACGTCCATGGATTAGGAAACTAAATACTATAAAGACATCATTTCTCTCCAAACGTAACTCTAAAGTTGATGTGATCCCCATCAACATACCAATAGGATTTTTCTAGAGATCTACCTGCTGATTCTAAAATTTACATAATATTGTCAAGTGCCAAGAATACTCAAGACATCCTTCAAGAACAGGTGGCGGGACAGGCTCTACTGAGCATCAACACGTCATAAGAAGCCACGATGGTTAAGACAAGTGCCAGGAAACTAATCAAACAGAAGAGGGTGTGCAAAACAGACCTAAAAACATTTATGACAAAGAATGCAGAGCGAACCCTCACATCTCGATAATTAAAAGTCAGCCCAATTTTAAAAATGGGCGAAGGATCTGAACACACATTTCTCAAGAGAAGATACACAAACAGCCAATATGTACACGAAGCCATAGGGAGATGCAAATCGAAATCACAGTGAGACACCTTTTCGCACTTACCAGACGGTTGTAGCCAGAAGGACAAATGCCGGGCTCCGCGTGGCAGAACTGGACCCTCCATGCGGTGCCGGTGACAATGCAAAACGGCGCAGCCGCTTCAGAAAGCAGTCTGGTCGTCGTCCTTCAGGAGGTGGCTCTCAGTAGTTACCTACGACCCATCAGTGCCACTCTGAGGTCTGCACCCAAAAGAAATGAAAATAACTTTCAGCTAAAAACTAGCACATGAAAACCCAGAGCAGAATATTCCTAGTAGCCCAAAAAGTGGCGACAACCCAAATGTGCACCAGTAAGTGAACGGGGTACGTAACAGTGGTCTATCCAAACAATGGGATATTATCTCCCAGTGGAAAGGAACGACGGACGGAGATCACGCCACCACATGAACGAACCTGGAAAAGCCTAAGGGAAGAGAAAACAGCCAGGCACAAAGGACTGCCTGGTGCATGATTCTATTGGCAAGAAATGACCCGAACCGGCTGCGGAAGGATAGGGGCGCGGCGGCGGAGGAGGCTGAGGCTAATGGTACAGAGTTACTTTTTGGAGAGGTGAAAATGTTCTAAAACTGGTGGTGGTGACAGTTGTACAGCCCCGTGACGGTTGTGCACACACTAAGAACCGTTGGACTGTGCGCTTGAAATAGGTGAATTGTAATGATTCTTGCACAGCATCTCAAAAAAAGCGATTATTAAAAAAAAAAAGAAAAAAAAAAAGACAAGCTGAGGATTCCGACTGCAGATACGCATCAGGAAAAGTGGATAACACGCTTTCCAAATCTGTAACGAGCTTACGGTGGTAACGTGGCCCTCACAATGCGCTACTGGGCCAAGAATTTATATTTTTACTTTAAACCTAAACACAACCTTTCACCGTGTTCCCCCTCCGGCCCTTTGCGGCTCTGCTGCTGGGCTCCCCCTTTTCCTTCGGTCCCCTCGGGCCTCCAGGGAGAGCTTGGGTCCCAGGGCCCCCGAGGGCGCGGGGCTCCGTCGACGGGGCGGGCCCGGGGGCGGCCGCTGTGACCTCGGGGCGTGTGCAAACACCGCCCTCCGCGGCCACCGATAGGTCCCACCCCACCTTGGCGACCTGCGGGGCGGGGGCGGGGAGAGGCGGCGCAGGAGGCCGCGCGCGCGGCCGGGAGGCTCCGAGGAGGCTCCGGGAGAGGCCGGGGGAGGCCGGACAGGCGCGGGGCGGGCCGGGCGCGGGAT